GAATTCTCAATAATAATTTTGTGTTGATATATTCTTGAAAAAATATACACTCATGGAAAAATCTTTTGATTGCGATAGACATTTGCGGTAATGCATTTACAGTTAAAATTCATCATAATTTATATATTTTTAGAAATAAGCATTTATATATAAAAAAAGCGAACCAAAAATGTTTTCTAAGAAATGAAATATAAGCCAAAGTTAAATCTTAAGACAAAAGTGAAATGTGTTAAAATCAGAGCCAGGGCCGGGTCTGAAAATTTTTTTTTTAAAAAAACCCTAGCCGGGTCTGAATTTTTTTTTAAAAATACCAGGCAGGGCCGTGCCGTATTTTTTTAAAAAATTTATACAACATGAATTATTATATTCGTCAATTAGATATGGTTATAATGATTATATATAGTTATGATTAATATAATGTTTGTTAACACTAGCTAACACTCATAGTATCTATTACATAATAAAAATATAGTTTCCCTGCCATGGAATAAATACGCAAAGGATTAAAGACATTATTATATAATATATAATATATATGTTATAATTTTTATTAAAAATATCATTTTTATTTTTTTTATAAATACATAGTATTTGTAATATACTAAATATCTGTTTAGTAAAAAAAAATAAGTGTTGTTAAACGGCTCGTTTTGAGCCGATTTTTAAAAAGGCTAACTAAGTTTTTTATCCAGAAAAATATTGTGCAAGCCTGGAAATTTTGCTCATAGAAGGAGCAAAGGTCTAGACATATAGTATCGAAATTTCGAGGCTTAGTCAATATTTTTCTGGCAAAAATATTGAGTTAGCCGTTTTAAATCGGCTCAAAACGAGCCGTTTAACAACATTAGCTTAATATACATGCTTATTAAATGATAATACTCGCCGAAAAATATGATAAAATACGAAATAATAAATTTTTTGAATATACCAGGTCGAATATAATTTTTAAAAATTCCGAGCCGGGCCTAAAAAAATTTTTTTTTTTAATCTAGGCCGGGCGGGGCCCCAAAAATTTTTTTTAAATATTCAGGCCAGGCCGTAAAAAATTTTTGAAAAAAAAATCCGGGCCGGGCCGAAAATTTTTTAATCTGGACCGGGCCGGGCCGTACAAATGGTACCTCTGCAGGTCTCTGATTATAATTATTAATAATAGATCCATAAAATTACTAAATAATATAATAATATATCAAATATAATTTTTTATGTGAGTAATTTTAAATTTATCATAATAAAAGTAAAATATAATTATAAAACTATTGATAAAATTAAATCATAAATTAAATAAAAAAATTAAAGCACAATACAAACAGTGGAATATTATATGTCGTAGATTTACAGTATATCTAATTTTATCAATAATCATATGACAATCAAGTAATTTTTACCAATATAGCGAATAATATATTTTACAGAAAACTATGAAATATTGATAAGGACATGAAAATATCTTTTAAAGACATTGTGGGTTAAATTTATAAAAATTAATTTTTAATATCATTTTTTATTAGAAATAAATAGATGGCGTTAAATAATTGAATGCAAATTGTTGCTATATTTATTATCAAGAGCATTGATTAATAAAATTTGATAAAATATTAACAGTAATATAAATATGTCTGTAAAAGTGGAATTTTACCTAGTATTTTGTAACTATTTCTATATAATAGAGGAATATCAACTATATGTCTACTTACTTTTTATAAATAAATTTCTTATACTTGTTTGGAATAAATTATTACCATGCTTTTATATTAATGTAAATACAAGTTATTTATTATATTTTATATAAACTAATAAAAATATATTTCATACTTTTTGTTCCAGGCTTATTTTTTTTTAAAATTAACCTCCTATCTTGTTAAAATATTTTATGACTATATAGACTACGGTAACCCGGCTTAAGACCGGGCAAAAGCGGGGAAGGTCCACCCAAAATGGGGTCCGGGAGCGAAGCCCCCAGTAATTTTTTAATTCCCCTCCCCCCTTAAGAAAATCCTGGCTACGCCTATGATTAAAATAATATTATTTTTTAACAATAAGTATAGCTAGATCTAATTCATGATATTGCAATTTAATTGGTAAAAAATGTACGCGAATGAATGGTTATGCGGACCCATAAGAGTTATGACTTAAAAACTGATGTGTAAAAAGGAATTAAACCGCAAAAGGCTCAATAATAGACTTATGGTTACCAAGTGGCTCCGAGGTATCTGCATTATGTCCAGTATATTTCATTATAATTAAATACGCTCTCATTTTAAAATATTTTAATAAAATAAAAAATATTTGCAAAATATTCATGCTAAATTTTTAATATTATTAGTATTTTTAAAAAAATAAAATGTTTTATAGCTTCTTTAGTCAAATATTATTTAATACTAAAAGGCACTCTTCGTTTGTAAAAAGACACTATATGACTAAAAAACTTAAGCGAGGCATATTTGTAGTTTGTTATTCCTAAATATATGTGTGTGCAGGGCCGTGAGAAGACGGCGGATGCAAAAAATGAATTTGGCGACACTATAAAAAAAATTTCTAATTTATCTACGATTTAGAAAATCATAAAATAAGGAAATTTATAAGTCATTTCTAAAATATTTTTGAATATACAGCTTAGAAATATGAGTAATATTTGTTCAATATATTATATTATAATATAAATAATTTTCTTCTTTTTGTAATTACAATCACTTTTAAATGGTTAAGAAACAAAATTTGGCTACCCCACTAAGTTTAATTTTGGCTGTTCCGACTTTTGCATAGGTCTGTGTGAATTGAGAGGCTCTAAGTTAACATACAATTATTTTAATAAATAGAGCTCCACCTCTAATATAAATTTTAAGCGTAAAAAGAGTATCGATCAGTTTGATAACTTTGAATGGAAATATATACTTAGAATTTGTTGTAAAATATTCCACATAAATGACACAATGAATTTCTCATTATAACAAATCGAGTCCCCTTTTTTTTCAATACCAGCTTACAATACCAACATAATTTTTTTTCTTATTCAAAAGTAAAGGAAGGAATAGATTTCAGTTAAATGGGGTCTCAAAGCAATTATCCAGACTATATAATAATCATTGGTGAACACAGGGGAGGCGAGAGCACAAATCCACCCCTCCCAGATAAAAAAATCAGATGCCGGTTAAAATATTTTTAAAAAAATTTACTGTTTTATGTTTATTAATTTATGTTTTATAATATTTATTCTTACCTCTTATAGCGTATATATTCCAAATTGCATTTATTATCATATTCACAAAATAAACATTTTATATTATGGATTAATATCGATTTCAAAATTTCTTTGGCGTTATATTAATTTGCCAGAAACTTTTTCCCTTGATAATAAAAGTGAGTTCCTATGAATGCTGCTGAAGGCATTTCTGAAGTCTAACTTGCAGGAAACCTTATCCACCTCAGTATTTATAAAAATACGCGCAACATGTGAGGTCACTTCGCACCCACCTCTGACTCCAAAATCTAACTGTGAGGGGAAATAGGAGGGAACTGATTTGATATGACCTGCATTATTTTTTTTAATGTTAATTTTTGTGTTTCCTATTTCTAGATACTTTAATAAATTCACTAGATATATATATTCTCCTACATGCATATTGGTCCCTGCTTCAATTATTTCATAGAAAATTAAACTTGGGATTTCTATAATAAAATTAATAATACATTCACTAGATATATATATTCTCCTGCATGCATATTCCTGTTTCAATTAATTCATAGAAAATGGAACTTGGGATTGCTATAATAAAATCAATAATACATTCCACTCTTATATTTGTCCACCCATGATTAATAAGGATCAAATTTTTATTTTTATCTTATCTTTCGGTTATTATATTTTAAATCCTTTCTCATTTACTGTGCTGTTTTTATAGATTGAAATAATTATTTAAGTTGCATTATGGAAAATGAACAATTTAACATAAAAATTATCAATATATTTCCTTAATTATTTTTCAGAAATTTCCATTATAATTAGTTGAATTAAAATTAGAAGATGAAGTTGACCCTACCTTTATTTTTAATCCTACTCCTTATCCCTATTTCAGTTATTATAAAAAAAATTTAAATATATTTCAGATAAAAAAATTTCCTTCCGATAAACATTACATTATATTATCGAAAAAGAACATAAATAAAAAAACAAAACAGTACTATGATATGTGAACTAAGTGGAAAAAAATATTCTTCTAAAATAAAAATCCTGATTATTTGATCAAAAAACATAAAATAAAAATTGGGGAAACTATAGGGGAAATTCGAAAATGTACAAAAATATTGACGACTTGTATCATATCAAAATAATATTTTATAGTTAGGATTAGTGTTGTTAAAGGGCTCATTTTGAGCCAATTTTTAAAAACGGCTACCTCAATATTTTATCCATGAAAAATATTACGCAAGCCTAAAGATTTTGCTCATAGATGGCTCAAAGGTTTTGATATCTATTGAAATTTCGATGCTTAAGCAATATTTTTCTTATTTTAAAATCGGCTCAAATAGAGCCGTTTAACAACATTAGTTAGGATATCAAAAGGTTCAAACGGCTTATACCTTTTTATAGTCTCGATTGGGTTACAAAATTACTAGTAGTTCAGACAAGGCAAATAATAAGCGACTAATACTGGTTTAACACAAAGTTTGAATTGCTCTTCAAGATAAAAAAAAAAAACATTTTGATCAAATTTTAAATGAAATTCCAAATTTTTTTTTGTATAAAATATTTTATAAATCATTTATGATTTTTATATGCATAAAAAATCTTTCATTAAGAAATCACAGATTTTTTTGTAAAAAAAAATTTTTCAATTTTATGATCTTCAAAAGATTTTTTGCCGATTTTGTTACAAACTCTGGTTCAGTTTTGGTTAAATTCCCTCAAAACTTAATAATTCCATTCAATTATTGTTTAATTTAATGATATTCATTTTGGAACTTTACGATATGCAATTTTATTTTAATATACAATATACAAGTATAAGTAATATTTTATTAAAAATAATTATCATAAAATCGAAAAATATAATAAAAAATAATAATTAATGTACAAAGATAATTTTAATGGTATTTTTTTTTTTAAAAAAACTAATGAAGTAGGCAAGATACCAAAATGATTAATATTTATATTGCGAAATAATTTTAGAAATACGTGTTATAATGAGAAATCGAGGATTTAATAAATAAGTAAAATCAATTAATGAGCTCCATATTCCCAGATTTTCGACCGCCTACGAAGCGACAATATATGAAATCAATGAAAGACAATCTAAGAGATTTATCATGGAAAGAGGCCACAAAGACGGGTATGCAAGCTCCTATATCGAAGAGGGTGCCCAAGAATCCAATTAAGCCTTGCATATTGAGCATTTCGTACAGAAACTTAGGCCTGAATAAAAGAGCTATCAGGTAAAACCATAGAAAGGGAGTATAAACCATGAAGTTTCCGAAAGATATCCAAAAATAATATGACAGATTTTCGTAAGGTAAGTTAATAGGGTTCGAATTATCAATATATGTATCAGTCGCGTTAACTCCACCCGCTTTAACAATATAAGGTAAAGTTAGTGAATCATCGTTATTGGATGTAGGGGATGACTCGCTGATATCTTTGATAGTTTTGACGTTCTTGCTCAGATTTACTTTGGTTTTGAAGTAAGCACTCAATTTATTATAACGGTAAAGAGTAGTTCCCCAGAGGATCAAATTAAGTGTGACGTGGAAAGTTTGGATCAAAAGACTGTATTTGACGGCTTGGTATTCGTGAAAATACACGTGGTCGCCTCGTATGTTGAACACCAAAGTTATAACTACGGCCAATACTGCTCCGTATACCGCAGAGAGAATACAAGTAGATCTATTAGTACTTCGAATAAAAAATTTGGTAACCCATTCCGGGATCAAGGTAACTCTCCTGCCTAGTTCAGATTCGTTAACTGCTCTGGTAGGCCTACTCCTGAACCTGTAACACAATATGGATTGGAATGAGAGCCTGATAGAACGATCGTTGATATCAACTGAGTTTAGGACGGTTTTGAACCAAAGGAACATCAAATAAACGCTATTGAAAACAAGCGTGGCGTCCAACAAACGTAACAGGAATATAGAGAATATCATTATGGAAGATGTTAGATATCTCACCTTCAAGAAAAATATATCCACGGTTACCTTTACCAATAAAAACAACAAGGATCCCCAAGTGAGATGCAAGCAGCATTGATTTGGACAACCCCAATGCGGAGCTAGCACAGTATTTCCTCTTAAATTGACGCTGTTTTTTTTTAAATTAGCGTTTTTGAAATGCGTGTTGAAAAAAACATCAGTATCGTCTGCGGTCCTGATATTTCGCTTGCCTTCTGCATCGTTGTTTATATCTGGATTCGATTGGCTGTTTCCCAAGCAATTGATATTTTTATTGCGTATTCGAGGGAACATGTAATAAACGAGCAAGAAAACCACGTTGAAACCAAATATGATAATAGTTACGATGAGATTTAATATCCAAATCAATCGTTCCTTATTGAACCCTTCAACATTCTCCTCAAGATCCAGCAGTAATTCCTCTTCTATAATGGTGGAGTTTAAAATGGAATCATTCTTTGCAAAGGATTGCAGATTCTTGACGATTGTCGATGTGGTTGCCAGGTATCCTATCGAAGAGGATATTCCTTTAACAGTTGACATTTTTCGTCGTAGGTAGAATTAATCTTGTTTACACAATATGTTTCTGAAGTTGCATCCTTTTTTTAAAAAAATAAAATAAGATTATATTTTTTTAATGGTTATGAATTATGATATAATAATTGTGATAAATTTTAGATTAATTATTAATTATGATAAAAGCATTTTATTGCATAAATTTGAGCAAAAATATTTTTTTATTTTGTTTTTGATAAAAATATTTATTCCAAAATAAATAAAAAACAAAAAAAAACGGAAAATATCTTGGTTTTGGCATAATAATGATCTTTATTTTTGAAAAAATATAATAAATTAATAAGGTCTTATTTTTCTATAAACCAAACCTAAAAAGGCAGATTGTAATTGTTTTGTTTTTCTTCCCTTATTTATTTTATTATAGTGATTTACTCAAGAAAAAATGTCCTAACTTGGAAAATATAGTATGTAATTTAATTAATGAATTATGTTTTGTTTTGTACGTCTCGAATTGTAATAAGGAATCCATATGGATTCCAATTTTAAAAGCTTACTGTATAGTGATTTTTAAATTTGAAAAAAAATGATTTTGGCAGAAATTTATTCCAGAATTTGCAAAGTCCTTGCGTATTTTTTTTTAAAAAACAAAATTTATACGAAAAGTACATATATTATAATATTTTTTTAAAAAGGGGATTCAAAATTTAACAGTAAAATTATATCAAATTCACAAATATGGGTAACTTTGCACATGTTGGATTACCCTTTAAAATAGATATTATCTCAATTTACGACATAATGTAAGTATGATTAAGAAACTGTTTATTTTTATATATTCCAGTGTGGAGTTGGCGGTTAAATGGAGACTCATGACTATAGTTGGGTGAGAGCGAAATGTAAGCTACGACTCCAATCTTCGGGGTATATCGGAGAAAATCGGTAAACATTAAGGCATTTTAATTTATATTAGTGTTTTTCAAATTTGAGCTGCTATCTTTTTAAGAAAGTTCTCCAAGGTCAAATTGATAGTTTTCGGTGTAAAACTTGGCTTAGTCGATTTTTTAACCGGCTAAAAATGGCTTAAACTGCTAAAATTTTAGTAATTGTCCAACTTGTTAAACGGCTAACTCAATATTTTAGCCAGAAAAATAATGACTAAGCCTCAGATTACGATAATAGATGTCTAGACCTTACTACCATCTATGAGAAAAATAGCTCGCGTAATATTCTTCTCAACATTGAGTTAGTCGTTTTTAAAAATCGGCTCAAAAGGAGCCGTTTAACAAAACTACGGGAGTGTTCTTTAAAAAATGGTATAATAAACTTTTACCAAGATTTTAATTTTCTACTTTGATATGATTAATTGCTATGTTATTATTATTTCTACATTTTTATATTTGGTAATTATTTATTTTTTTTGAAATGTGCTATTCTTCCTTTTTTTAAATCTTATTCTTTCATTTATTATATAAATGTTTGCTATAATAAAAAAATAATATAAAAATAAAAGTTAGTTTTCAAAATTTAATTTTTTCTTAAAAAAAGGAACTTAATATAAACAAATTCTGAAGGGATAAGAAATGCGAGCTATTGTTTAAAAATTTGTTATCAAATTTTTTTTAAGATTAATTCTTTTTTTGCAAGTTTTATTTTATGATAACAATCTAATCTTTTAATTTTTAAAAATAAGATTTTAAAAAATTAATTTAATGTTTCACAAATTTTAATAAAAAAAATTTTTTGCGAAAAAAATAACTCCAGTAAAATGAGAAATTATATTTAGAGGTTTTCTTCTATATTTCTATTGTTTTTGCCAAACCAAGTGGGACATTTTCAGCAGAGGAAAGGCTTGCTTGACATTTATTGGGGAAATCTTGTAGCTTAGTTTTTGATTGAGTTATTTTTTAAAAATAGGTACCAAACGAGCCTAGAAAATTGGGCCGTGATCATAATTAAATATAAAAATTCTTATAAAATTAAAATAGATATCAATATTTTCACTTATATTAAAGGAAAATCATAATTAGAATTTCTCTGCTTTTAGTCAAATAGGCTGTGTCCTGTACTCATCTTTTTCCTATTTTAAAACAGAATAAATTAATAAATAGAAATAACACAACTTAAGCGTATAAAACTCTAATTTTTTTAAAAAAGCTAGAATTAAGCAAATATTATTTAATAACCATAAAAAATGCATTTTAATTTACATTTTTTAATAAAAAAATGGCAGGGGTTAGGTAGGGCTGGAGTCAAGTGGTTTATTCTAAAAAATGTATAAATTATATTAAAAAATTAAAATAATGATTACCTAATTACAATTTAGCAGAATGAGTCAATAATATTTTTTTATAAATGGAAAATAATTTCTTTCTTTTTGATGGATTTCAGAATAATTATCATCTTGCAAAAATATTTATAATCAAAAGTTTTGTTTTTCAAATTAAATAAAAAATTAAGTCAAATTTATTTAAATATAAAAAAAAATACTTAATAAATTTACATATGTACGTTATTTATCATTTTTTTTTGTTAATTAAATTTGCGATCACGAGATTAAAGAAAAATGAATGAACGGGAAAGTATCTAATATATAATCTTAAATCATTTTTTTTTAAATAGTAGAAAAAGAAAGAAAAAATTAAATAAGTCAATAGGTAAAAAAAATATTTCTTTTATATGTTACGAACAGTGAAAAACAAATGGAATGGAATCATACATAGATCATGTAAGAAGCATCCCCCCTTCTAAAAGATATTATATGATAAATAAATAATCTTTTTTTAATATTTTATTTATAAAATTATCGATTTTGAGAAAGAATATGTAACAACCAAAATTACAAAATTATTCGAGTTTTTTTTTAAAATAAAAATCAAAAGTGATTTATTCTATTATTTTTCACGAAATGTTACAAAGTTATAAGATGAATATTATTATATAAAAAAATATATAAATATTAATTAATTAAAAGGGTTATAAATTTCTTCTTTCTTTCTTTTTTTAGTAATTTTCATCGTTAATTAACTATATTATATATTTAGTAGCAGAATATTTTATTTATTTATAACACGAGGTCAAAGGTGCTATGTGTTAGTTTAGATTTTTATGATTCCATGAAAGAAAAAAAAAGAATTATAAAAAAAGTTTAATTAAAATTAATAATATTTTAAAAACTTTAATTAGGAATAATGTTTCATTTATATAGTTCTATCTAATTATAAAAAAGTTTCTCTGAACTATCGTAAAGGTAATAATCTAACAACTTTAAAATATCCACTCCAAAAAACAATATTTTATATAAACACCTATACGTTTACCATATAAATTTTTTATGTTAGCATCAGTGTATTTTCTGGCAATGTTTTATTTTTTCATCTTTAAATCGTTTTCTGAGCACGTTTTTTAAATTCAAAATTTTGATTTTACTGGAAATGTGTTCTATCATGTTTGGAATACCTACCCTATAAATATCAGACAAATATGCCGTGAACTTTTGAATTTAATATAATTTATATTAGTTTTTTCATAGAATTTTCATGTAAATTGTAAGTGATTCAAAAGTAAACGGTATACAATTCATAAGATAGGTATTCTAGACATGATGGAATATATTTCCGTTAAAATCAAATTTTTAATAACACGCTCAATTCAAGTCGTAAAAATAATAAATTGCCGGAAAAAAAACACATTGATGCTAACAGTTATATATTCTTGGTTTTCAATTCATGCAGAACTATGTCCGAGTTTTTCTTAACTAGTGATGGGTCGATTTTTAAAAACCGCTCTATTAAGATTTTGGCCAACATAATGTTATAAGTCAGGAGATTTTTCTCATAGGTGGCAGAAAGGTTTGTACCTTTGCCAAATCTCAAGGCTTAATAATATTATGTTAACTAAAATCAATCTGGTCGTTTTCAAAAATCGACTCAAATTTTAACAACACTATTCGCGACTTTACTTTTTAAAATATCCATATTTTGTTTATTATAAATTTTATTTATGGATAGAAATCTGCAAAGCCCGGGCCATTTCGGCCAGTTAAAAATTTTAACTTGCCTGGCCCGTTCATATTTTACAAAAAGCCCCTTCCCCCTGCCCGTTAAATTTTATTGCAGGAATTTTCCAGCCATCATATTTTTTATCCATACATCTAACTCTTCCTATCTATTTCTTTCTACAACAACTGTTTTACAAATCATTTGTGTTTGATATCTGTAATGTTTATTTGTAATCGGATCATATTATAAATAACTTGATTTTTTATGAATTTACTATTTTATTTATATATTCGTATTGTTGTAGACATAATCTATTTTCAAGTAGTATTAATTAAAAACAGAGATCCGCAGAGGTACCATTTACACGGTCCGGCTTTTTTAAAAAAAAATTTCAAGTCCAGCCCGGATTTTTTAAAAATACTTTATATTTATTTTTGATTTTAGCTAATAGCTTTAAAAATACGACCGACCCGGCCAGGATATTTTTCTTTAAAAAAATATCCGGACGGGCTGGGTACAGGTCTTTGATTAAAATATTAGTTTGAGACTCAAAATAATATATCAAAATTTTGATACCCGGACTGGTCTATTAATATTTTATCGGAGATTTATGAGGTCCTACCTCATTTTCTATATATAAATTGTCTGCACTGGAGCTATTATTTATATGCAAATTTTCCAGCCTGTTATATATTTTTGTAAAAGAATTCTCGGCTCGGGTTTGATTATTTCCCAAAATATAAATGTTTTCTAACTAAAAAAATATCTAAAAAAAAATTAGCCTAAATATAGAAAATGGCTTATGAGCAAACATTGTATTTGCATAATTGAGCATATACAAATTAAATAAATATATAACCCTTTCATATTCGGAATTCTTATTAAATTGAATTTAGGGAGATTCCAAATATTTAAAGATATATATTTATTAATAAAAGATGCTTTGTGCTTAATTCTAATTGTAATGTTTGCTCAGAAACTAGAATTCTTTCACTATTATTTTTTTAACATTTCCTATATATTTTCTATATATTGGTCAAATTTTTATGAATAAATTTTTTTTTTACATTTTCTACTGGCCAAATATTTTTATGAACAATTTTTTTTTTAAATTTTCTATATTTTGGCGAAATCGTTCAATATCCATTTTACATTTGCAGATTGGGTATGATACTTGACGATTAATGAACATCCTAGAAATCTGCAAAAGTAGGCCTGGCCCGGGCCTAATATTTTTTAAAAAAAATCGGACCGGGTCGGGCCTTAGATATTTTTTTAAATATATCTAAATTTTTCATATGTTGAATTTTTTATTTAAAATAAAAATATTTGATTTTATTTTTAGACGCCATATAACATATATCGTTTATTTAAGAATTCGGGCAGATCTGAGCCGGTAAATTTTTCAAAAATAAATTAAGGGTTCGGGCCGCGCCGGCAAAACTTTTTTAAAAAAAAATCGGGTTCGGGTCGGGCTGGGCAAAACTTTAAATACATCACACACCTAAGATTATCGTAAAAATAGGAAAAATAAAATTTTAAATTTAAATTACTTAGAAATTCGGAACTTAAATTATTTTTAGCATGTAACATGTATTCTCATTTCACATATCTAAAAGGAAATAACAATACGGCGAGGTAGAAGTATGCAATGCAATTAGCTGGTTAAAAATGTTAAACATTGGATGAGTAGGTTAGAAATATATCTAAAACAATGATCTGGCGGGTTGGTGAATTAAAATTTTTTTCAAAACGGGCCTATATTTTAAAAAGGATTTTTTCTTAATATGCAAATAAAACCTAATAAATACAAAAATAAATGAGAAATTAGTTATGCAATTTTACACCTACGGGGAAATGGGGGGGGGGGGCTACAAGAGATCTGTAATACCCGGTTCTGGTAACGTCTGAAATTTTTTAAATTGAACCTGGAGGGCAAAAAGTAGAGATGCATGGCACGCTTAATAAAGTATGGAAGAAAAAATTTTAAAGCCTGATTAAAATAATAAATTTTCTTTACTTATAATTTTAATGATTAAATCATGACGTGCTACTATGATTATTCGTTCATAAATACTATTTCCATTTCATGTATTTTGTGTTTATTGCTTTAATAAGAAAATCATGAAACTTAAATTCTCACCATATTAATTTGATATATTTTTCCTGAATTTATAAAAACGAGACCGGGCAACCTAACAAAAAATTGAAATCGGACCAGCCCCGAGTCAGGAGAAAACTCAATCCCATCTGGGCCGGGAAAAAATTTGCCTTTTGCAGCCCTTCTAACTGCTACCCATAAAAATTAATTCTCTTTGCTAATTTTAGATAGAATTAGCTTTTCCCGTAAACCCAATGGTTTCTACTTTTTTTTTACCTCCATCTACCCCATTTTAATTAATTACCCTGCCCCTGAAGAATTTTTATTACCTCGAAATGCACTTTTTACCCGTATCTAACTGCAACTGAAAAATACTATCACTGAGAACTCAACCAATTATTACTCTATTATATTATAATAATAATAATTTTATTAACAGTAAATATATTTCAAATTATAAAATAATATTGATCTCCTTTATTATACTATAACACACTACACTAGATATATTTAGTTAAATAAATAAAGATTTGAACGAAAAAAAATTAGAATATATTGCAAAAAGAAATTTAATGTTGATTGCTTCATAAAAATAAGATGACTTGTGTATATACTCTTCAATAAAGAGAAGAGTCTGGATTAATCTTCAAGCAAAAAATGCAATGGGAAGCATTGTATACTTTAAACTATATTTTGGAGTTTTTTTAAATATTTTAAAATAAATTACTGAATATTTTGGCAACAATGTCAATTAGTACAAGCACAAATGAAAGGACCTTTTATACATTACAGAGAATAAGCTTACCTCAAAAGTACGACATCTTAAATTCGATTGAATGCACTATCTTTAATTAATAATTGAGATTTAATAACCAATACAGAACTACTTATTGAATTGGCGCATTCGTAAAGATTAAATTTTCATTTATGAAACGATATCTTTAACTTTTTAAATCATCATAATAATATTTAATTCTATATTTTATTGTGATTTCCATACCGGCTTATATAGCTATAATATTTTTCAATCATGTTTTATTCATAAATATTTTCCAATATTTCATTATTTGTGTTCGAAATTGTCATTTTTTAAAAATATGAACGGTTATAATAAATTTTTGATAATTATTTCTAAAATTTTTAATGTCCTAAAAAAATTATTTCAATATTTAAAAAAAATAATACCCCCCCCCCCCCCCATTATAGATAGTTTCTGGCTTCGGGCCTGCCCCCCGAAGCCTATAAAGATCCACTGATAAACTAAAATATTGGAATAATTTATTTACTACAAACAAGAGCCCTAGCATCGGACTTTCAAAAAAATAAATTCAAAGATTTGAGTCTAATTCCAAAAAAAAATTAGGA